ATCTGCACACCTCCCTTCTTTACCAAAAGTATGTATTTTTCGCCCTCGGTATCGTATACCTATCATCGACGATGACGTCACTGGTAAGATGATACCTGGGTAAACATTGGCAGCATTTAAACTTCTTCTAACCGACGCTCCACAGTGTACCCGAGGAAGGCCTATTAAGAAGGCCGAAAACGTTTGTACTCCTGTTAATAAGGCTAGAAATTAGTGAGAAAGGTTTTGTGCTGATAATACTTTAATTCAGTCAAATAATTATTTATATGGAGTATATATGAAAATGAATTTATTCTGGAAATTTTGGGGATACAAGATGAATAATGCATGTAAAATAAAGTAAAAGAAAACATTTGAGCATTAACAAAACCAAATTTATTCCATATTCTGCTGTTTTTCAAATTTTTGTTTTTACATATTTCAAAAGTCATAAACTGTCATAAATTGGTGAAACACTGTGAAGCTCTGCAGTGAAATTAGTTTTCCATCCTCTGTCATATACAGCTTTAGTTGGTACCAAAACTATTTAAATGGTCTCAATTGGGATATATTAAACATTCTTTTTACTAGGAATGTACTGTATCCCAAGTTGGTTAAAGGCATCTATTGTGTCTTGAGTGTAGTGGGGCCTTGCCATATTTGGTCAAAATATGTAATCTCCATTCAAATAGCGTCCTCCTTCAATAATTGGACTAATCTCTTTTTGATGCACTCTATATTAACACAAATATATAGTATAAAGTTTAGACTGAAGGCCTGATACTATCCACAAGAGCATATGGCTATCCACACTAAATCTTTGTTGAAAACTTATGATTGAACTTCTGGCATAATGTCTTATTTTACAATAAAAATTTTTATTTTTTATACGTTCAAAACCATCCAGTGTAAAATAAAATTTCATTCTCCATAACAACACAGGTTGTTTTGGGCTGCAAATCTTTGTTGAGTCATTGGAGTATCCTTATTTGATTTTCTAACTGTATCACAATGTACTTGGGTGCAGAAATATTTTATCTAATAGCAATATTCCTTTTCATAAATATTGAAATATTTCATTAATTGTGTATGGGTTATTAATGAAGAGATTGAAGTGAAGCATAAGATGTTAATAAATTGAGCCAGTCATTTTAAACTTTTTTCTTTCACTTTTTTGGATCTAGATAGTGTATGATGGAATAGGAGAAAAAACACTAAATTACATCATATATCATGCCTTTTGAAATGTTCAAGTGTTAGAAATTTGATGAGGGGTAAACATTTTAATTTTAAAAATTTCTAATATTTTTCTGTTCTTGTCATCTTTTAGGCCTTTTAGGCATTCTTTTATTTTTAAAAGATAAGTTATTTCAAAGAATGCCTAAAAGGCCTAAAAGATGACAAGAACAGAAAAATATTAGAAATTCTTAAAATTAAAATGTTTATCCTTCAAGTGATTTCAAAGAAAGAACAACTGAAATTGAATAAGCAACTCAAGTGTAATGGAAAATCTGCACATTTAGTTTCTTTTCTTGTGAACATGCATAGAAAAATATGGAGTTTTTCCAGATTTTTAGTTTACACTCCTATAATTCATTTCAAGAAATTGAACTTGGATATTTTTATTTTGAACTTGTTTGAGTTATTATTCTAATAGAATACCGTGTTTCCCCGAAAATAAGACATCCGCAGAAAATAAGACCTAGCACAGATTTTGCTGAATTGCGAAATGTAAGACCTCCCCTGAAAGTAAGACCTAGCGAAGTTTTTTTTTAGTCCTAACGGTCATTGACAGATGGTTGAAAGTGGCCGTTGGCTTTTTGAAAGTACAGCTGATTGGTCAGCAGACAATTACACCACACAGCATGATTTGCATAATACTATGGCTTGGGAATCACAGATTTGCATAACGTTACGGCTGGTGATGGCTAATTGGTCGGCCGGGAATCACGCCACATGACATTTGCATAGTGCTACGGTTCAGTAAGCACTAATTGGTCATCGAGTCCGATGTTGATGCTATAAAAAGGCAACAGTTCGACACACTGGATATACGTCACTCTCGTCTAAGTTCGACTTGGGAATATTTTTGTTCAATAATAAATGTGAATTCTTCTTCCTGGAAAAAATAAGACATTCCCTGAAAATAAGACCGAGCGCACTTTTCAGAGCAAAAATTAATATAAGACACTGTCTTATTTTCGGGGAAACACGGTATATGTATGATGATTAATATTTAGATTAGTCAATATATTAATAATGGATTAATCAAAAGTTAATATCTTTTTTGCTTTGTTTTTATATTCGAAATTTTAACATTTTATGAATAATGAATTTCATAAATTTTAATAAAATAGAATTTTTTAAAAATAATAACTTAAATGATTTTAGGTTTGTCGTCTTGCATATGAAATCATGCAAACAATTCATCCTGATGCTTCTTCATATTATCATTCCTTGGATGATATTTTTTATTTTGGAGGACAGAATGATCATAGTCAAATTGCACTTTATGATCATCATGCAAGAGTACCTTCTGAAATAGATTTACATAAAGGTGATATTGTAGGAATTGCTGGAAACCATTGGGATGGATATTCTAAAGGTGTCAATCGAAGAACTCAAAAAATGGGACTTTATCCATCGTATAAAGTGGTAGAAAAAGTCGATGTTGTTGAATTTCCTACATATCAAGGTGTTGATAAAAACTCCTAGTCATAATTGTTTTTAATAAATATTTAATATTATTTGAAAAAATGTAGAACAGATATTTAAATCTGTTACTAAAATTATAAAGTCTACAGTTTATTTCTATCATAAAAGAAGCTATAAATATATAACTTTACATGAAGATTTTTAATATCAGGGACTTAAAACAAATATCATTTTAGTGAATTTTAGTCTTGCACTTTTTATAAATTTTTCTATTCTAAAATGTCTGGATATTACATTAATATATACATATATATTTTTTCCAATGGAAATTCAAATTATTTTCTATTAATCCATAATTAATAGGTTAAAAATGAGACATTAATGGTGTTCTTCAAAATTTATTTAATATTTAAAAAATACTTTATCATATCATCATTACTCTATGAAGGGTATGTACAGAAGTTTTACATGTAAAAAAAAATCTCATTCTTCATATCTTTGTTATAGTGTCCATCTTGATGTAATTTATGCCATATGTGATTTTCATTATATCTGAAGTATGCTCAAGTACTGTACAGTTTGTATTAATACAGTTTGCACTTTCCATGTAAAATTAGAAATAGAATCATCATACTTTTTTAATATGATGATATGAAAATTATAAAAAAAAATTTTCCAAAGTAATTATTTTTTATGGTAATAATTTCAATATATTTAATTATTCAAGTTTGAAGATGAGAATTTAAAATTTTAGTGGTTAGAGACTTTTATTGTTTTCAATAAATAGCATTCAAAGTATATATTTAAGCATAAAAAAATATCTCCAGTTAAAAAAAGAAAGACTTATAAAAAAAAAAGAAAACTAGGATTTAATCTCAGGTGAGAATTAAATTTAGAATCAAATGCACTTATTTTGTGAGAGTCATAGTTGATATTTTGATTAGAAATTGGTACTTTTTGTTGATTAATAAGAAAAACCAGTATGTTATTGTATGAATGCATGTAGTATTACTCATTTTAAAATCTTATTGACAATCCTCACTTATTGGGATACTCCTGGCTTTATTGGGATCTGTATATTTTGTAAACAATAGAATTTTTACTTTAAGTAAACTTCGCTGTAATTATTTTTATTTTTTATTTCTGCATTTTAAAAAATACTCAAAGTGGTTTTTTATAAGTAAATTTTACCAGTGATCTACATTAACTCCAATTTGAATATTTATGATTTTTTTCACAAATAATTATGATTAAGGCATTGTTCTCCCATCTTTTATGTTCTCGATCAACCTACTTTTAAATCCATGTATGCAAAGTTATAAAAAGTGAACTTGTTTTTGTTGTCTGTTGTAAGGAAATACTTCTAAGATTAAAGAACGTGAGAAAAATTGCTTGTTTTTCTTTTCAGGCTGCAACAATAAAAATCTTAAATTGCAATATACAAATTATTTTTATATTTTAAACATTGGCTAAATTTTATAAGATATTAATCATTTTGTTGCCATTCAAAATTAGGAAGATTTTATCCCTAATTTGGAAAAATATATAATTTTAACTAAATCCAGTCATTAATAATACAGCATTAACTTGGAATTATAAAAAAATAATAAGCATTTTTTACATGGAGTATCTCAATGAGTTATAAATTATTTTCTCCAAACATCAGACCAAAGATATTCACAGGTGCATAAGAGATGTTTGTTCCAAAACTGTTTCTTGCTTTATTATATTAGGTGATCAAATGAAAATAAGAGAAATAGAGTGAAAAGTTTATCAATGTTGCAACAACTAGAAATGCCTTACACTACCAAACAGAACGTTATTATAGTGAAAAGAAAATTTACTGAAAATTAAGTCGTTAACTTAGGTTATATGTACAAAAGTTTTATAGCTACAGATAATTTCATGCTGAACCTTCATTTTCTACCATCAATTCAAAATATCTTATTATAATTTTAGATATACTTACATAATATTAAAAAAATAAATAAAAGTACATAATAAATTGCATTTAGGAGAAAATATTTGAACCAATAATATAAAATTATACATAAATTTCAGTTAAGGTATTATAAATTACATAGACAAAGGAAATATTAATTTAAAACTAATTACTTCAAGTATATGGTTCATGATGTCTTAAAATTAGAAACATATAGAAACAAAATTAGTTTATTTAATAGACGATCCATAATTATAAAGAAAACTCTAGATAATCTAACAAATTGACTAATGTTGTAATTTATTGTGAATTTTAAAATTACAATTTNTCTGTAATTCATGATTAAATTATGACATAAGTTATAATTACACTATGATATTTAGTTGATAGGAATTTTGAAGAAATAAAATAAACTCTAATATAGTATTTTGTTGACCACTTTCCACAAACAAAAGATGCTGATCTGATGATCAAAAAATGGCATAGTAAAGTTTTTGTAACAAAGTTTCTAATACAAAAATTAAAATTTATTGTTACTAATTATCATTACATTTACTACTAACATTTTACTTTATGTTATATTCTGTAATTCTTTTTATATTTGTCATATCTATTATTCATATGAATGAAATAAGAAAAAAATAAATATAGTAAAATTTTTTCATACTTTCTTTGTTTTGTTAAATATTGCATTATGCATGGTTATTGTGGAATATTTTTTCATATCAAATAAAAGTAGATAAGAATGAAGTTTTGATTAAACAATTCCCTTTTAAATGCAATAATTTGTCTGAGTTTACTACTGGAAGAACTATTTTTTATTCAAAAACATCTGATTCATAAATAGTGTATAGTTCATGTAATACACATTATTTGTATCAGTTTAGCTGCAGTATTCAGTAATATAAACAAAATTTAATAACATATACCTGTATATTCTTGAGAAGAAAAGAAATGTTCTCTAAATTTTAACTGTGAAAAAGTATGAATTAATTTAACTATTTTGCTTAGAAATTATTTTGTGATATAAAATTGATATAAGTTGGTTTTAGCCAATTTATTTATATATATTATAAAATTAATTTTGAATTATCTCTTGTCCAAACTTTATCTGACTTTCTTAGCATGAATGGAACTGAAAGCTTCCCCCCATCATCATCTTTTAACATCTAAAGTTTTTGAAATTAAATAATGTAAAAATGTGTTTCCCATCAGTTTTAATATTTGTAATCATTAAAAATTTCTAAAATAGTCCCTTGTTAACTTTTGTATTACATGTGTTGACTAAAATGATGAATTGTTTTCTTATTGATGCTTTATAAAAATATATTATGATGATGATGATTATAAAAAAACATGGATTATTTGATAATAGCTTTATATCTATCTCTGATTACAAAATTTAACAGTTATTGGTTTTTTAAACATTTTTTAATCTAAAAATATTAGTATTAAGAATGGAATCCATTTAGGAGAAAATCTATGACAATTTTCAAATTTTTCCTTTAAACTAAAAAACATTGAAATCTACTGTATATTGGGCTGCAATTTGAAAAAATTGTACACTTATAGATTCCCTCTGTCGTCCATCCATCTGTCTTCCCTTAATCTTGAAAACTGAGTTAGATAGATGAAAGACGAGACCATATATGGAAACTTTAGAGGTATGAAGCCCCAATTAACTATGTACAAACTTCCAATGCAAACCAGAAGTTATGTTATTTCAATTCAAACATTTTTTCCTGAAAGCAGTTAGATAGATGACCAACACAACTCTATTGTTAAAGAAAAAGTATGATTAGTAGTGACTTGCCCCTGAACGTTTGAGGGAGAGTGAGCATATATTTTAAATTAGAGATATGATTAAAAATTGAAGCTCAGCATTGTGACAATGTTGCAATACATAATTGCTCATTAAATATGACTTGGTTTTTTCTTCAACATCTATTATAGATAGGATTTTTAGAATCCAAAGGAAGTTTTTGGGTAATAATTGACATTTATTTCATGAATTAAGGGCTTCTGTTTTAGTTTCTTAAACAGTCTTTTGAGATCACAATATGCTCTTATAGACCCACAAGTTTGCATATTTTAATGAAAATATATATATTAATGTTTATTTTTAGTACTTATTCCAGAAACAAAAATTTTATACATGAAGTTAACATGTTACAATCCTAAATATCGATCAGTTATTAAAGTTAGTTACCTGTAATTGATTTTTCATTTTTAATTATATTTTATTCATTTACATAGCAAATTTATTTACGGCAATTGGTTATTAAAACAATTGTTGTGAATGAATTATTATAATTAGAGAATTTATTTACCAAATATAAGTAAAAATGAAATTTTTATTGTTAAATAATTTAACATTTCCTCTTGAATTGATGTCAGTAGTTATTAATATTAATGTTCTACATTTCATACTGTTCTGTCTCAGATGAATTTTAGAATAAAGATATCTTTTTCTACTGCAGAAAATGGTAAATGATGTTTGTCTTCCCAAATGGAAAAATATTTTAATCTCAAGGATATTTAACAAAAATTAATATTAATAGTTTATTTATATAAACTAACTGGTGGGAAACAACTTTTTTATATTCAAAAATTGAATATGAAATTAATAGGTAAATGTGTTTCTTGAATATTAAAATATGCAATTATGTTCCTTATCCATCTTTATCACTCTTCCTTATCCATATATTGAGCCTTATTTTTATTTGTGGATTTTACAACTCAAATCTTTATTTTGAGATTAACTGAGTGTAATTACATGTATAATAACTTATGTGCTTTTTAATAAATAGACTGAACAGATTACATATTTGATACATCTATTCTATACTTTGTTTTGTAAACGTTGGCCAATAGATAATGTATAATCTGAAAAATCTTATTGGCTTATTATATTTAGAGAAAATATAATTCTCCAAATTGCTTGAAGTGCAATTCTAAAATATTGTACAAGTGTTTAATTTTTGAAAAGCTATATTGAAATCTTCAAATGTATACAAGGTGCATAGTAAAATAAATGCATACACTGACAATGTGAGTGAAACACAATGTACTACAATACATGGGAATGAATGCAGCACAAAGACACAGGGAAGTGAGAAATACACGTGTTATAAATCAACACATGAGAAAAACACATTTTACTGTCTGCTGGATGTGCACATTAGCATTTTGTGCTATTTGTGTATGCAAAGTGTTCTTTCATAC